CCTGGAGAGCGGGGCAGTTGTCGTATTGACGTTGGCGGACCGCTGCGCTGATTCTCCCAGAACACGAACAATGACACAATGTCGCGGCTACTCACGTGCGTGAATCGCATTTCTGCTGTGGAGCTGAACGTCATCCCCGCGCCTCCTCTCTGGCCAAGGCGGGAAAACGATCGCGGCCGACTGTAGTCATTGGATCGTCCCGACCGTCCGTATTCCCGGATCGGACGGCCAGCAGGCGCGCATGGAGGGTCCACCGAAAAACTACGTATATGAGGCAGGCCCATCACTCCCCATTTGATCATCCCAACCGTCAGTATCCCCGAATCGGACGACCACTAGGTGCCCGCGAAGGGCCCACCAGTTGTCATTTTCGTTTCAGTTCGGCAACGCAGCAATAGCGCAGCGCAGCGGAGGTTCGTCGACGCAGCGCAGCGGAGGCTCGTGCCATAGCGCAGCGCAGTGGAGGCTCGTGTTCAGCGTGGCAACGGAGCGCAGGGATTCGGTTCGTGCATAGCAGACCACCTGCTCGACGCGATGGCGGACCACAGCACTGTCGAGAGGCGTGTTCAGCGCGACGACAGAGCGAGCATACGACCCAAGATTGGACGCACGACCACAGCGGAGCACCCCGAGTTTAAAGAATCGGACGGTGAGGACACAACCACGCAGCCCAGATGTAACCACGTAACGCCACGTGGCACTTTCGGTCATCGAGTCGAACACGATCGTGCCTGATCGTCGAGTCAAACACGATCGTGCCCGATCATCGAGTCCAACACGATCGTGTCCGATCGTCGAGTCGAACACGATAGTGCCCGATCGTCCAGTCGAACACGACGGTGCCCGACCGTCGAGTCAAACACGACAGTGCCCGATAATCGAGTCGAACACGATCGCGCCCGATCGTCGAGTCCAACACAATCGTGTCCGATCGTCGAGTCGAACACGATCGTGCCCGATCGTCGAGTCGAACACGACGGCGCCCGACCGTCGAGTCAAACACGACAGCGCCCGACCGCTGAGTCCAACACGACAGCGCCCGATCGTCGAGTCGAACACGACAGTGCCCGATCATCGAGTCGAACACGACAGTGCCCGATCGTCGAGTCGAACACTATCGTCGAGTCGAACCCGATCGTCGAGTCAAACACGATCGTCGAGTCGAACACGATCGTTGAGTCGAACACGATCGTCGAGTCGAACACGATCGTCGAGTCAGACACGATCGTCGAGTCGAACACGATCGTTGAGTCGAACACGATTTAGTCGAACACGATCGTCGAGTCGAACACGATCGTCGAGTCAAACACGATCGTCGAGTCAAACACGATCGTCGAGTCGAACACGATAGTTGAGTCGAACACGATAGTTGAGTCAAACACGACAGTGCCCTATCGTCGAGTCAAACACGATCGTCGAGCCGAACACGACAGTGACCTATCTTCGAGTCGAACACAATAGTCGAGTCGAACACGATCGTCGAGTCGAACACGATCGTCGAGTGGAAACAAGATCGTCAAGTCGAACACGATCGTCGAGTCCAACACGATCGTCACGATGGTGCCCTGTCGTCGAGTCGAACACGATCCTTCCCTATCGTCGAGTCGAACACGATTGCGTGCGGTGCAATGTCATCAAATCGTTCATGATTGTGTGCAGTGCAATGGACCGCGTGCGTCGTGTCCTGGAAGATCGTGCATGGGTTGCGTGCGTGGAATATGGGCGTGGATTGCGCACATAGATCATGTGCAGTGTGCTGTCGTCCGGCGTGGTTTGTTTCCATTGTTGGGGGGAGGGGGGGAATTGTTCTATGCTACTGTTGATCGTTGCGCTTGTGCCGTGCAGGGCGTCGGGGGGGAATTGTTATATGCTGCTGTTGATCGTTGCACTTGTGCCGTGCAGGGCGTCGTCTCTTCACTGTTACTATGGAGATCTCTCATATGACCCCAGCACTTTGGCATGCACGCAAGGCACACCCTTTCCCACCTTGCACGATGTACGTCCGGCAATGTCAGGGCAGCGTAACCTATGACGGCGCTTGTCCCGAAGACTTCGAATGCGACCCTTGGATGAAAATCCTCTCGTTTGGCGACAAACATTTGGACTCGTGGGAGGAGTACGAGTGGGTGAACATGACGGAGAGATGCCCGCGGGCGTGCAATTATGAGTTCGCCAATATGTCGGAACTCGGCAAACGCATTCCTGTGTCGTTCGATGAGCTGCGTCCCGTGCGCTTGCCTCAATTGTGTAAAAAGCTAAAAATAAGTCATCTTGTAAGGGTTTTGGACTACGAATATGTGACAACCTCACCGCGCACCTGGTGTCGTGTTATGAACCAAGAGTTACTCGATTGTGCGCGACATTCTCAGTTCCTCGATCATTATCCGTTGCAATCTCCCGGTTTGTCGCCAAGAGCAGTTTCGTATTGTTGTGTGAGATTGGGTCAAGCATACTTCATCTTTTGTAGGGTCCTCTGTATTGCCGTTTCGAGCAGGGCAAGAAACTTGACCGACGCTGTCGTGTATGTGTCCAGGAACGAGTTATCTATGTCTGGGAGGGATATGTGCTTAGTTCAAAGACAGGTAGATGGGAGACTGGATATCGTGGTGGGTGGCCAGGTGGAGGACGTTGGCGCATGGCGCGAGGTCGAGGCTAAAGTCGTTTCAATTTGGGATGCTATAGGCGCTTCTCTCGTCGGGAACTCCGGGTTCGTGCGCATGACATACATTTCGGTGTTTGCTGAAACGGCGCAGCAGCTGACCTTCGGATCGCCACTTAGCGTGTTGAATGGACGCAACGGCGAGATTGTTCCCCGTAGTTGATAGATAGCCTTCGACGGCATACTGAATGGCCGCAACGGTGGGAGAGCTCCCCATGGTCGATGGATAGCATTCGCCGTTCCACATTTTCCGACTCTGCCACTGTCGCAAGTTCATGGATGTGTCGAGACCAATGTTGACAGCTTTTTGATTCCGTTTTCGTCCGATGTTGACAACTTTTTTATTTCGTTGTGCGTTCAACAATGACACATCGCTGCCTTTCCGTTTTTATTTTCGTGGAAATCGGATTGCGATTGTTGTTCTCAATGTGTTATTTTGGTAACAATACGCGGTATCTGCTAGTTGTTCACATCATGTGTTCAGTGGCGTTGCTGTCCTCATATTGTTTTTCGATTCATTGAAACCCGGGAATGATGACACGTGTTTTCGGTTTGGCTTTGGACACCGACACATCGCTGCCAGCCCGAGTGTTTGATTGTTGTTCTCATGTTGTGTTTCCTGCGGAAAAAAAAAACTCGTTGCTGCGTGCACAAGCATTCAACAGTCATTGTATCTCCGTATTAACCAGTGCCTGCGATCTGTTGTCTTCTGTTCTGGTGATCAAGTGCCCCTTCAGGCACCGTCCGCTGACCATTGTGTCGAACACGACAAATGTCGCACGACAGACCACAGTGTCCCTGTCGTGTTGGACATGTTGGTCGCCAGACTGTACCTAAAAGGGCACTTGGTCGACTTTCGCACGGCAGACGACAGTGTCGCTGTCCTGTCAAACACGATGGTCAGTTCCCCTTCAGGCACCGTCTGGCGACCATCGTGTCGAACACGACATGGACACTATGGTCTGGCGACCAGACGGTGCCTGAAGGGGCGCTTGGTCGACTGTCGCACGACATATAACAGTGTAGCTGTCGTGTCGAACACGACGGTCAGACAGCCCGCGCAGTGCCGAACTTGACGTCGTTTGACGTTGCTGTCCTGATATTGTTTTTTGATTCATTGAAACCCGGGAACGATGACACGTGTTTTCAGTTTGGCTTTGGACACCGACACATCGCTGCCAGCCCGAGTGTTTGATTGTTGTTCTCATGTTGTGTTTCCTTGCGAAAAAAAAAAACTCGTTCTGATGTTTTGCGTACACAAGCATTTAGCAGTCATTGTATCTCCGTATTAACCAGCGCCAGCGATTTGTTGTCTTCTGTTCTCGTGATCAAGTGCCCCTTCAGGAACCGTCCGCCGACCATTGTGTCGAACATGACAAATGTCGCAAGGCAGACCACAGTGTCGCTGTTGTGTTCGACACGATGGTCGCCAGACGGTGCCTGAAGGGGCACTTGCTCGACTGTCAACGGCAGACGACAGTGTCGCTGTCGTGTCGAACACGACGGTCGGCTCCCCTTCAGGCACCATCTGGCGACCATCGTGTCGAACACGAAATGGACACTGTGGTCTGGCGACCAGACGGTGCCTGAAAGGGTGCTTGGTCGACTGTCACACGGCAGACAACAGTGTAGCTGTCGTGTCGAACACGACGGTCGGACAACCCTCGCAGTGCCGAACTCGACGTCGAGCAGGACGACGAGTTGGTCGGTCGTCGGGTTCAACACGACGACACCACAATGTCGCTGTCGTGTCGAATTCGACGGTACTAGAGGACGTCGTGGCACGGCCGTCGAGTTCGACACGACAGTGAAACGACGACGAGCTGGCGGGCTGCGACCCGCTTCCGTTGCTTTGTGTTCCTGTCTATTCTAGTTCTCGAATGTTGTGGCGTTTGCACGTCGGCAAAGCAATGACTGCTTTCTCACTTGTGCGTTTTCTTCAGTTGTGACTAGCTGCTCGATATAGATCGCGAGGGGAAGCCAAGCAAACGATGTACTAGTACTGGTTTCGGGAGCATGGAGCTGGTGTGGGGGCTCTGGCGACACACCGGGGTCTAAGGGCCACCGAACCCCGGTGTTGAGGGGTGCACCTTCTACGGGCACTCCTTCCGCCCATGTTCGAGGTTCAGGACCGGATTCGGCTGTGTTGATGAGTGGTGGGGCGGCGGGTCGAGAAGAGGAGGCTACTGGTCGGCAGGGGAAATCTACGATGGGCGTTGTGCCCAGGCGTAGAAGGTCTGGTGACACGTCCGTTGCAAGTGTGGGAGACGAGGTGCCTGTCGTCAACCACAAAGACAATTGCAGGATGTTGGACTGGGTGGGTGGAATCGGGGAACCCTCGGGTGGGCTGGTTTTGCACGTGGTGATCAAAGATAACATTGTTCCGATTGGCGGTTTGGTGAAGTGGAGTGGAGGAAATTCACCGTTGGCCATGTTGGAGTTGACGATGGTCCTTAATGCTAAAGGTGAGCGGATGGCGAATGTCAAACGTGTTGCTCTTTGTTGGGTCAAACATGCTGGGTACGGCAAGGAGCTTTTTGATATTTTCAATCCGCCCGGGACTAAGGAATTGACGTTGTCGGACCTTCGAGCGGTTTTCACATTCTTCGACAGACATGTGGTCGCAGGGCATGAGCCGGTGGTGCATGCTTCCGACCGCATATCTGAACCGAAAAGCGTTCTTTCGTCGTCTTTGGAGGTGGCTCCGTCGTCGAAATCAATCATTATAGGTGCCCGCCCTCTGTCATCACTTCGGACTACGGTTGCTGCAACACGAGTTCCGAAATCTGGGCAGATCGGGGAGAAAGGTCCGTGTCGCGGCCAAATCGTGACGTCAGCCCCTTTGAAGCGTATGAGTTGGTCATTCCTGCTGAGCCGCATTATTTTGGAGATGACGACGAGGAGAACAGCGAGGAAGATTGGGAGCGCGATGAAGAATGCGAAGAATATGAGGAGGGTGGCGGAGAAGAGGAAGTAGAGAGTGAGCACACAATCAGCGAGAGGGGTGGGCCGGGCGGATTGGAGGGTCGTCTAGGGGTTGAGTATGAGAACGAAGGGCAAGAAGAGGAAACGACCGGCGAGGGAGGGTATGCAGATGTGTATCGGGGTTCCAAATGAACGCAGCTGCTTGCGTCGGGTCATGGGCATTGGGAAGCGGATCCAGTGCGCGGGGAAATGCACCGTGAAGTTGGGGTCGAGCCGGCGCATGCCGATGCAGTCCGACTAACTGAGAAGAAAAGGAAGATCAGGCAAGAGAGGAGAAGTGTTTTGGACAGTAAGAAAACCAAGCAGGAGGGGGGAGCCAAGCAAGAGGAGGGCAAACGCAAGTTGAAAATGCTGCCAATTGAGGAGGCCGTCCAACGTACGAGGGAGGCTGAGGAGGCCATGAAGAAAAAACGGCAGCCAAGGAAAAAAGCAGCGAAGGGAGGTGTGATGGAAAAAATTTCCGTTTTTCCACCAGACCAGCCACAGTCGGATGAAGACGCTGTGGGCAAGACAGTCACCAGACTGCCCGGTTTGCAGATTCTGCCGCCCGTGAATTCTTATGGTCATTTGAGCAAAGGCTTCTTCCTTGAGTTCGACGAGAATGGTAACCAGAGGCCGGAAATGCAGTTCATTTCTGTCAAGTTGGACAGGATTCTGGATATCCCTGACGAGGAATTCAGATATAATCAACGCTTCCTCGGTCAGGAGCTTATTGATGACCTTTACAAGACAATGGTTGAATCGGGTGAGGCAGCTATCAGAGAGAGAACGATCGGGGCAACCGGGGTGAATGTATGTGCATTGTACGAGAAGCATGTCCTTTTGTTGATTGGGCTACATGATACAATGCATACTGACGCTTCCAGCACAAATGTGAGGGCGAGAAGAGTGACGCCCGGCGAATTCGATCTCCAATTCGTGCGCAAGTACTACTGGTACCCTCTCAGTGGTCAACAGAATGTTGCGGCGACGAGGAAATGTTCTCAAGAACACCCTGACATCGCCCGTGAGCTTCGTTTGGATTACGTGACTGCAAGGCCTGTTTACTATCCGGATAGGAGCATGGATAATTACTGCACCTTGAGCACTTTCCAAAATGCGAAGGACAAATGGAATACTCCTCCACACCAGATTGCTATCATTAAGAATATACGAAAGTTGTGGCAAAAAGTCGGTCGTCCAGAAGCTATAAGCAGATCTGCTGCAGACGTCAAAAATAAGGATTACAAAGAGTTTGTGGCGATGGCTGCGCGCGACCGGGAGTGATCATTTGGTTACTCTGTCACTTTAGACTTGGACCAAGGAGTGGTCCGACTTCCTCGGGTTTTACATGGTATTCGCAAGGGCGACGGACGATGTGTTCGACAAGGTGCAACAAGTGTATTCTACTTGGGAGAGTGGACAGTTGTCGGGTAGAGATGGTGTGAAACCTGCCACCAAACAAGGTGAATCGGGGAAAGCGCCAAAACCTGACCCCGGATTCGAGTTGGAAAAAGGAGTCAGGGTTCCAGTGCACTGGATTCAGGGTACTAGAGGACCTGGTTACCTCGTGGCTGTGCGCGATCCGGATGTCAAATCATGGAAGGCTATGTCTACGTTGGGGAGGTGTGAGAGGCTTCAAGTGTTGCGAGACATTCTCACGGGAAGTGTCATACTGGCTCCAAGGCTACGTAAAGTTGCTCACACTGCCGGGAAACATTCGATGGAGACATACGTGGAAATGGTGAAGCAGGAAAGAGTAATGTTGAGAATGTTTTACTACTTCGTCTTCATTTCTGACCCTCACAAGAAGCCGTCAGAGTGGAAGGAACCATTCTTCGACAACCTTTCTGATTTGTTCGCTAAGTATTGTAATCAAGGATTGACATCGGAGAGGTGGATCGACCAGCGACGACATTTCAAAGAAATGAGTTGGGTGCGGTCATTTCCGGCTACACTTGGAGGCGAGGATGAGAAAGGAGAGGAGGGCTTCAAGAAAACAAAATCGCTTGCAAACAAATGCTCCGAAGAGTTCATTCAATTTGTCAACAAGTTGTTGCGTAGATCCGAAAATGGGGGTTCGCATAGCATTCGTATGTCGGGACAAGCGAGATATATATATTTCTAGAAACAGGACGTGACATCTGTATTCGTGCCGTTCCAGTGGGAACCGAGTGATGTTTCAGACGAGATGGATTGCAAGGAGATGTATAGAGTCGTCAGACACCTGACGTGCCACACAGCCGTCCTGGATTTGTGCTGCCCGACCCAGATGGGTGTGTGGACTGAACAAGTATTTGATAGACTCTGGAAGTTCATGGAAAAACTTAGCGGCGAGTATTGGACATTGTTGTGCTTCGTTCCACGGTCTTGCGAGTTCACATTCTTGAGGTGAGTCTCGATGTGGGACATTCACTTGGATCTTCTCAAATGGACTCGTCTACAACAAACAAAGGAGAAAGTGACATATAAGGTTGCAAACTTACCTTTGGAGGACACAGACAGAATGGTGGTCATCATGTACTCCAACGACGGGGATTTTCATCACAACACTATTCCCTTGTTTGAAGATATTCAAGTTGTAGGTCCATCATCTGTCGAGCAGGTGGCTGACATATCGGCACTTGTGCGGAGAGAGAGAAAGCTGAAGACGTTGACTGATGTCGTAGAGAAGAACTTTCTTCCATCTAAGTGGAAAATGGCAGGTATGGATCCACCGGAGAAAGTTGTCCATGATGGTATGGAAAGGGAGCCGAATGCGATGGTGGAGACATTAGAGCATTTTTGTCCTGCGGATGAGGCTGTCGTTTTCCTGGGGAAAGGTCATGCGGGATTGGTTTGGGAGCTGTTAAAGAGTCACCGTCATTGCATTGTGCTGGAAGGAGAGGGTATGAAGTTCGAGTTCCTCACTCAGTTCATTGACAAGATGGTCAAAACTCGAGATTACTTCGCCAAATTTATTAAGTCGCCTCCTCGATATGATGAAGGGCGTGATCTCGTCTACAAGGTTGGCCAAAACATGGTCAATATTTGGGAGTTTCTCTTCGAAACAAAGCCGCAACACAGAGGGGAACGTACTTACGTCCTTAGAAGAAGAAAAGTGGAGACGCTTTTGAGGGGTTATCATAAAGCACCATCGGAGAGGGAAGTTCCATTTCTCGACCGCTTGGAGAAAATGTACTTCGACCAACAAATCGGGGCGTTTACAATCGCAGGTTATGCGACTTGTTTTGTGGATGGTGAGGAATTTGATGCCGACGACTCAGAAGAAGAGAGTGTTGATGACACTTTGCAATCGGCTTTGACAGATGAGAGGCAAAGAGCTCGTAGCCCGGCTTCGCAGAGAATGGGTGTTCCAGGCACATCGTCCGGTTATGGAGGAGCTTCGAGCATGGCGGTTTCGATGGATCAGTTAATGACTTGGCCGCCGACTTCTTCTATTGTTACACCGACTCAGATGGCAGGCAATACGATGACGGAGCCATCCGGAGGCAGTCTGGATCCGAAGCTTCTAGCAATGCTCTCCCCAGACTTGTTGGCAACTCTGGCACCATTTGCGCACAGCCCAAGTACTGTTATGGAATTGCTACGCTCTCGAACTCCACAACAACCTCCATCTGATGAGCCTTTGGAGTACGAGATTGGAGACATAATCCCTGCGGACATTGGACTGCTTTCGGGGCCTATAGTGTGCCGAGATGATTATACGGTGACGGATGATGTCACATGGGGTCATCACATTATATGGCACCCCCAACACTTCCAACCTGCATTGGCAAGAGGGAGGTGGGTTATGGCTATAAAAGAAGAAGGGGAGTGGCAGTTTTGCCTCCACAGATGTATGTCAGGATCAAACTTTCTCAAACACGCAAAAAATCAGATTGCCAAGCGACTCCTGCGACTTAATCCGGAGGTATCTCAATCAAGACTAGATGTAAGAACAGAAGAAATTTTCCAAGAGTTCAAAACATCGCAGTGGCTTTGAGTATCTAGAAGAGTTCTATGATAGACAAACCAGCCCGGCTTATGGATATAATTGGCATGTCGGAGAAGATCTTGAGCACACAGAAGGGGAAAGGAAAAAAACAAGCGGCGGTGGTGAGCATGGCAAGGGATCCGGATCGAGCGAAGGTGCGCATGGCGAAGGATTACGATCGGGGAGCGGTGCAAGTGACAAGGGTCTGGAACCAAATGACGGTGCAAGCAGCAAGGACGCAAGTCGTGGGGAATGGCAAAAAACCGAAAAGTCTCAGGGGCGTCAAGCAACAGAAGGCAAGGGATCAGCACCAAGCGGCGGTGGGCATGGCAAACCTACAGGATCAAGCGGCGGTGGTTCAACTGTCGAAGGGTCTCAGGGGCCTCAAGCAATAGAGCGCAAGGGATCATGATCGAGCGGTGGTTCAACTGTCGAAGGGTCCCACGGTCGAGTCGAACACGACAGTGGCCTCGCATTGGAGCGTTCCCGGCTTGACCAAGCGAAGAAACTCACAGTCGAGTCGAACCCGACAGTGGGATCGGGAATGATCGCCGGTGCAACTGGCAAGGCTTCGGGACCAAGGGGGGGTAGTACAACTGTCGGCGGTGCTTCACCTATCAAAGGGTCACACGGTCATGTCGAACACGACACTCGTCCAGCATTCGAGCGCTCACGGCTTGACCAAGCGAAGAAACTCACTGTCGAGTCGAACCCGACAGTGGGATCGGGATCAATCGCTGGTACAAGTGGCAAGGCTTCGAGACCAATCAACGTTGTTTCACCTTTCGAAGGGTCACACGACGGTCGAGTTGAACACGACAGGGGTCCACTATTGGAGCGCTCCCAGCTTCACCGAGCGGAGAAACTCGTGGTTGAGTCCAACCCGACACAACAATGGGGATCGATTGTCGGTGCGAGTGCCAAAACTTCGGGACGAAAAGGCAGTGTGAGTTGCGAGGGCGTGAGTACAACTGACCAAGTTTGGGTGACTACGATACTAGTGTGCGACAGTGTCGCTATGGAAGTGGATATTACTGGTACACTCACGGAATTACAGATGGCGTCGTCGACGATGCCAGCCGAAGTAAGCGACACTTTCCAGGACACTTTTGAGGGCGTAAAGGAGGAAGAAACACTCCATGTACAGGGCATCGAAGAGGATGAAGGACATATAGTACTAAGTACACCGGAGCAAGGTCTACTTGTACAACCTCAACAAACGCTTGAACAACCTCAAACACCACAGTCTGCCAACCTCATGATAGCTATGGAGGAATCTCTATTGCGCCATTGCATATGGAAGGTGTGACAGAAGGTCGTGTTGAAGAAAAACTGAGAGTTAGCCATCGAGGTGAGCACTTTCTTATCTTAGGAGGAATATTTAATACTATATGCGGATTAGTAGGTACATCACATGCACTCATCTCCCATTGTGTCGATCCCTTAGATGTATTGTTTATTTACCTAGCTTTGGAACTGTGTGTTTTCTGAAGAGAAATACTGCAATTGTTTTGTATGAAGACTTAGTGCAATTGCCATATATTTTGTATTGGTATTTATGAGTCAGTTTCAACAACGAAAAGTCGAAATTGTAACTCATTATGTTTTATCTTGTCAATCATGCAGGGCGACGAAAAGAACTGTGGAAAACGACACATGTACACTTGCAAAGGAAGAGAGAGAAGAATATCATTCGTCGTGGCTTGCAAGCTTTGTCAACTTTGCCGTTATTGCCAAAAAATGAGAGAATAACTCGTACACTCATGACGTTTTCATCTGTGAAGCCAGCCGCCTCAAGGATGTTTAAAGTTGTTGGAATAAGCCGCACAGAAGGGAAGAAATTGCATCGCGCAAGTTGTAGTTTATCTGTTATGGATAACAGCACTGATGACGAAACAGATAGACAACCAACAACATGAGCTCATATCTATGTAGTCTATCACTTATTTTTGTGTGAAGTCTTAGTCGCTCTATTGTTGTTTATATGTGTGTTTGTATGCAGTGCATGACCCTTCGTTCCTGATTCCTTTAGCAACAGCACACCTTACTGTAGAAGAAAAGGAGTATCTTGAAATGCTTATCGGCAGCACTGAAGAGAATGAAGAATACGACATTGTCGATTACAAGGGGAGGTGGAATAGAAAGACGTCATGGTCGCCGCCAAGGATGGAGAATGGTTAAATGATGAAGTCGTCAATTTGTACTTGCTAGCCGTTCAGATCACCAATGACTACATCAAGAAGGTGGATTCGACATGTGGACGAGATGGGTGAAGGACATAAATCTTTTCAATTTCGATTTGGTAATTATCCCTCTCCATTTCGGAAATCATTGAGCCTTAGCTTATGTCAGTATAGATCGCTCAGAGTGTAAATTCCGCCTCGTAGACTCTTTGCATCGTGTTGACTACGGTCCAACCCTCGAACTTTTGGCAGGTTTTTTCAGAGCGAAGTTTCATCGACAAGATCTTCGGGAAAAATATCATGTGGAGGAGCCTACATCCTACTTTGATACATCAGTAGATGGGAATCCTGCTCAAAAGGATTCTTCTAGTTGTGATGTTTTTATGTTAGGTTTTGCATCTTTGCTTGCAGAAGGTCACTTCCCTCCGTTCGGTTTCTCACAAGATAGTATTTCTGATATGAGACTTAGAATAGAATTTGACATTTTGTTCATGGTTAGATAGGAAAGTCAATGAGAATTTCAGGTTCTAGGTTTGGAAAAAAGAGGTTCACATGTTTACTTAGTGTGAACATTCTGGGTGAAAATGTGTATTGTAGGCAATTTTGAAAATATGTTGTATAATGACATTTCCTAAACTTCTCATCAGTTATTGATGAGGTTGGCGTGTTTTACTGAGTGACATGTTTACAGAGTGGATTG